ATCCCAGACTATCTTATGAAGGGTGGGATGATGCTGGAATGCAATATCAGATTCAAAGTTCCTTTAATTCTACACTACCCATTCTCAAAGAGTGATCCCAGAATACCTCAAATAAATAAATAAATAAATAAATAAATAAATAAATAAATAAATAAATAAATAAATAAATAAATAAAGATCCCAGACTATCTTATGAAGGGTGGGATGATGCTGGAATGCAATATCAGATTCAAAGTTCCTTTAATTCTACACTACCCATTCTCAAAGAGTGAACCATGACCCCAAGAGAAGATCTGATTCTTCTTTCAGTCAATTTTGGAAGAATGAGGAACATAGTAGATGGGATTTCTGAGAGGGCAGTTTCACTGTGTGATCAGGCACACTATTTTTTTTAAAGATTTATTTATTATGTATACAGTGTTGTCTGCATGTATCCCTGTAGGCCACAAGAGGGCACCAGATCTCATTACAGATGGTTGTGAGAAACCATGGGGTTGCTGGGTATTGAACTCCTGCCCTTTTCAAGAGCAAGCAGTGCTCTTAACCTCTGAGCCATCTCTCCAGTCCCCAGGCACACTATTTTACAAAGTGGAATTTATACTCCCTTCTTCAGAAGGCTAAAATTGGATACCACTTTCAGCAGTTCTCTACTATGCATCTTTGATAGCCTTAAAATGTGCATATGGGAATTGTAATCATTGTTTACAAAGTAACAAGCTGTACTCATTAAAATTTGCTTCTTTAGCCAGTCATATAAATCATGGTAGAATTTCCCCCATTAAAATATTCAGTTCACTGTTAGGTCCATTTAGCAGAGTGAATATCATAGGTTATTGCTCAGAACCTGTGTTTCTAGTAATGCAAATAATAACATAAATTAGCAATTTTAAAAATGAAGTTTGAAATTGTTTCTCCTTTATATAGCAAAAGATCCAAGAGTACAGTCTCAATATTGTCCTTCAAAGTTATATAATGTGTTTCCTTGTGTATCTGACAATAACTCACATCATGCTCAACGTCCCTGGATGAAACTGTTATTGGCAAAATGTAACAGTGTCAATCTAAGTCCTGGACTGACTGCCAAACAGGACACTCTGACAAGTAAACAAGCTTTCAAAATGAACCACACTTTATATTGCATTTAACCCACAAAGGGAAACAGATGGAAAATGTTTTAGTTGATATCCTCTGTAACAACTGAAATACGGATCATTTCCCAAGAAGCTGGAAACCGAAACATAGAAAAATGAAGATTCTTCTGTTAACGGCTGTTATCGGCTTTGCTTACACAGAAGAGGTACTTAATATTGGTTAAATTATTTTTCCCAAAGCAGAGCAACTTGCAATATTGTCTTAGACATTGCAGCAATCCTTATCAATCAGTCTAAAGCTGCAGTTGTATTCATAGTAACTCTGTCCATCAGAGAAAATGGATTTAATGTCTTCTAGTTTTAACATGCTTCAGATTTTATAATTCAGTAGAAATATATGGTTTGTGTATATGTATGGTTATACATGAAAGATATTTTGATAGCATGCATTTCATAATTTTTAAAAAACAGAGCACAAGGTATATATAGAATTATTCAAATAAATATGAATTCAATTCTTCCTCTCCAAAAATGACTTATATGTTTGAATAGCCATTTTAATTAGTGTAATATTGCTGAAGTCTGTCTGTAGTATGACGTTCTGTTGGATTCACTTAACAACAGACATAAATTTAAGAACATAGAAATACGCTATAAACGAAATGTATTTTAATAAGGGTAGGTATAACATGTAGGTTCCTGTGTAGGAATGACATTTTGTCTCAAAACTTACAGTAAATAAAATTTATTTGTAGGGATATAGGGGTAATAGAAAATGTGATTGTTTACATTTGAGTCATTTGCTAGTACTTTGGGAACCCTTCTTTGCTGACTGGGAATTTTCAGAGAATCCCCCATCTTCATAGGCTAAATAGTTTATCTCCTACTTTCAACCTAACACTGCTGACTGGAATACTTCAATTATAAAATAATCATTAACTTCAGTGTCCTTTCCTATTGCTTTTGCTCATTCTGTAAGTCCTTTTATATTTCATTGGATGTGTATTCATATTTCTTTGCTTTGACACACAAATAATTATCTCCTCACATTTCTGGATATTTGGCAATAGGTAGAATTTTCCTAAATACAATTGCTATCCAGAAGTTGAATGTTTGGTTTAGGGTGGTGACAGAGGAGATGGCCTAGAAGGAGATTGACATTAAAAGGGGACACGTGAAAAAATTCTGAAAAAAATTGTTTAAGTTTTCAGTGGAAAATACATGTCATCTAATTTAACTCCCTGTCCTTTTTTTATACTGTAGGTCACAATGAGCATGGACTGTTCTGCCCCCACTGCCTCCCCTCTCTACTATGTGCTCATTTCTATTTTATGTACCATATTCTCTGAAGTCCCTTTCCCCTCATGGATGGTTTAAAGCTTTCTGGGTTCTAAATATATGCAAAATAAAACATATAAAAAATGAATGTGAGGCTAGTGTCAATATGTTAAGGAAAGTGTGATATTGTTTTTCTGACCCTAAGTCACTTCGTGCTGTATAACTTCACATTTCGTCCATTTACCTACAACGTTCATGATTTGATACATCACCAGGCTCTATTTTGAATCTATAGTGTGGTTTTCCTAAGTATTTCATTTTCATTGAACATCTAGGGTGATGTGAGTACTAGTCCTTTTGAAATGAATATTAAATAACATGAATGTAACATATCTAGTATCAACACAAAGTCTTTGGATATATTCCTTCGAGTGGTAAATAACGATTTTGTTCTAGGTCAAAATCTGCTTTGAGCGATCTCCACAAACGCACTCAAAACTATCTTCTCCAGATTACATGCCTAGTAGCCGTGGACGTATGTTCCCTTTGGACTCGGCCCCCTAACATTTTTCAGCAGTCTTATCTTTGACCATGGCCTTCCAATTGGGAAAAAAAATCGAATATTAAAATTTTAATCAACCTTCCTCTTACATTTATGAATATAAAGCTCTAATTTTTAGAGAAATGTCTGTTTAATTTAGTCACCCCTTATAATTTTCCTTAATTATTGGCATTTTATACATTTTTGTAATGAGATATGAATGCCTTTACCTTAAAATTTCCTCCCTCCTACGCCCCTTATCAGGCCATATTAATCAGATTTTTATGTTTTTATTTCCTAATTTTTTGTAAATTACAGAAACTAGTCGGTTGGATGAGTGTCCCTGAAAATAAAATGGTTTCTTTCTTTGGTTTCTCTGACTCTCCACTCTATGGGGGATTTTATTTAATTGACTTTGTTTGAGGAGATGTCATTTGTCAATACTTAAAGCTTCTTCAATTATTTTGGTGTTCCATTCACAACATCTTTAACTGTGATTAGAAGATCCATTGTCATCTAAGAAATCATTTTTTTTGTTTTTGTTTTTTGAGAAAGGGTTTCTCTGTGCAGTTTTGGTTCCTGTTCTGGATCTCACTCACTAGACCAGGCTGGCCTTGAACTCATAGAGATCCACCTATGTATTCCTCCCAAGTGCTGGGAATAAAGGTGTGTGCCACTGCTGCCCAGCTAAGAAATCATTTTTTTTTTGTTCCAGGACTTAAAAGTTACAAACCATGTCAGTTCAGTCTAAGTTTGGTAAGCAGTATATGTGTGCACACTATTCTTTGCAACACAAATTTATTCAATCTTTTTATAATATAATTCATGCATGGAAGCTCAACATCATTACAGAATTTAGGATTGTAGCATTATTCATGGGAGCTCAACATTGTTTTATATTTTAGAACTGTAGCATTTGGAAAAAGGAAATGTCATTGCATACACACATATCTCTGATAAGTATATCACATATCAATATCTACTAAATATTTTAACTGACATTAAAACTGAAAGTACAATATTCAACTGAGTTTTCAGAGTGCATGTTCCTTTTCAGCTTTTAGAAAACTATCGAACTCTCTACTTAGCAGCCGATGATTTAAAACTAATAGAGGAAAATGGGCCACTAAGAATTCACGTACGTCATATTCTACAATACAATAATTATGCTGAAGTTGGCATCACATTTTATGTCAGGTAAGCTACATTCATTCAGACACAAGAAGCAAAATACTGAATATTAATTAGTAGTGTATGGCCCCAATTTCCTTGACATTGTGTGAAAATAAGTCAATGATGTCAGATGGTTAATCATCATAGATATATATATATATATATATATATATATATATATATATATATATATATCAACATAGGTCATGTTGTGCTGATAGGTTATCCAAGAATACAGTCAAATGCAATGAAATTCATTGAGATACCAATCTGGGAAAGTGGTTCATCACATACTGCCTAAGAGACCAGTATGTGTCAGGCTCGATATTTAGTGAAGCCTGCAAATTGCTGGACTTTATGTTTAGAATAAGTTTATGCAGCGGGTGGGAAGGTCTATTTGGTGAAGCTGAAAGGGGAGCAATGGGTCCATGCATAATAATCACAATGTGTTCCTTAAGTTGCAATGTGTTTCTTAAAGTCAAAAATAGATGCCAGTGATAGATCTGTTCATGGAATCCTAGTAAGAAAGTCTGGGTAAAAATAAATAAAGATGGTCTGAGCTGGTTGGGGCCACACGAGTGCATTCCACATAGTGGTCAGAAGATTTTTCTGTGCCCACATCCCTTTCCCAACTAGCACCTGAACCCGAGCTGAGCCTGGACCACAGCAAAATCACTACATTTGTAGATGTGAAGATGATGTCCATGTCGGATTGTAATACCATGTGTCTCAATGGAAACTTCTTTCTAAATAGTCAAAGATGATTTTGGAGAATTAGTAGATTTTATAATAGTGACAGGGTAACATGCTTAGGAAAGAATGACTGAGATATTTATATGGTATACATACATCCCAGGAACAGATTTTCTATCCCCACAAATATGTGTACACCTTCCCTTCCAATCCATGCTGGGGGTATGTATCAACACAGGAATCAAAAGACCTGTATTATCTAGGTGTTAGTGTGTGGCAAGTCAGCAAGTCTAAGTCCAAAGGGTGTGTGTGTGTGTGTGTGTGTGTGTGTGTGTGTGTGTGTGTGTGTGTATACAAACACACACACACATACACACAAACACAAACACACATATATATCAGTGTCTCAGTTCACAAGTATATAAAACTTGTAAATTGGTCACAGGAGGACGATTTGTGGAGCAGGTGTGAACACTATAGTAGAATTATCCATTCTTCATGGTGGATAAAATGTATTGCAAGTTATCTGTGTGTTGAAGCTAAAAGAAGTATATGCAATGTCACCTGATGAAAATAAAGTTATTGTTATTTTGTGTTTAGGCAAAAGGAAGGATGCCAGCTTTACACACTTCTGCTTCGTAAATTTATTACTTTCATCGTAAGACCACCATGTGAGTATCTTATGCTTTCAGGTGACTAAATATATATACAGTGCATTAAATTCACACTCATAGTACTTAACACTGTAGTAGCTTTAACAAACTATTTTAGAAAGTAAACTGATTCAGAAGAGGTTGATATTTGCATCATTGTTTCAGATAAGTCAAGATCATTGCAGAACCAAAGACTGGGTGGAGATGCTTATGTGACAGGATTCTGGATGTTCACCAATACATTCTCTACTCTCCCAGAAAGTTGGCTTCAGAAAGAAAAAAATGGAACCAGAGGTGTGTGAAATACTACATCTATTCTGCTAATGATCCATCTACGTCATTTTGGCTCCTCATCCTAAATTTCCACAGACATCACAACCCATGAACCAAGTGGGAACGTTTACACATTCTGTCTGTCTTAAGTGGATAAGTCATTTCTAGAATATATTTTACAAGTGTTTGAAACAGAAACAATGAAAAAATGTATGAAGTTTAGTGAAATTATTGTCAGTTGACTATATGGACAATCTTGGTAACTAGAGAGTTTTCTAGTATAGGATAAGATAGTTTTTGCATGAAGAAAACCAAATAGAATATTTTTTCCTGATAATACATTAAGGAAGTCAGTGTTTGGCATTCATGCCAGTCTGAAAATGTAGCAAGTGGTTTATGAAAATTATAAAAACTCTGATTGGGTTGAATCACCTGAATTTGATGAGAATAGAAAAAAATGATCATACATATTTTGTTGGACAATTATAGAATTTCAGTACTATACTTTGTTAAATATTTGTAAAACGTCTTATATAGAAAGTTAAAATTACACATTAAGTATCATGCTTTTTAGGGAAATATAAAAAATGCATAAACTTTTAGTTTAGGAATATTTATGTATTCAAATAATATACTAACATTTGGGTTTTTCAGGTTTTATATATCGCATAAAATGTACATTAAAGTAGAATTTTGTGACAAACATATACTTATTTCACAAATCATAATAATTATTTTTATTACTAAATTTCTAAATAATTCAAATGTTAGAATGAATATCTTGAATTTTATTTAATTTTCATAGAATATTCATAATCACAAGATAGTAATGACTGTCACTGACAATTCAGAAACTACAATGAATTTTAAAAAATTATTTATTTATTCAGTTTTTTGATGGTAGAATTCCTACTTTATGCATACACAAACACAAATAACCAAATCAAAGTAAAGAACAGAATATATTCATGGTATTTAGTCCAAATGAAATATTTCTTCTCAGTCTCAGGTGTCATGTTATTTGAATTATTTCCTGTTTCAAATACCACAGTCATCGTGCACATCAACTTTGTTGAAAAGAATGGTAAAAATGGAAATTTGTGTGCAGCATTCTGTAAGTGCAATATATAATTTTAGATGTTTATGAACATGTTTGTCCTGCCTTTTTATAAGACAAAATTTAACACCTGTTTTCAAGAATCAGCATTACTTGGCAAGAAGTCTCTCTTCAGTTATGTACAGGACTACATTTTGGGGTACATAGAATGCCTACCTAAGTTTACATACCTCTATTTCAGTCAGAAATGTCTATGAAAAGAGTGGCAAGCATCACATATATAAGACCTCAGTTTTCACAACCAAAGTTTTGTGTGTCATACCATGCCTGGTGAGAAATAAAGAAATATATTCACCAAACCAAAGACTTTATTTTGACATCAAATTTATTGGAAAATAAACTATACTTAGGATAATGAATATAAACTATCTATCAGATATAAGAACATTTATTGTGAAGTACCTTGGCGTACTCAGAATGCTGATTTATTTAGTCTCCATATATAATTATACAAAGTAAAATATCATTATTTGAAATATCTTCAGAAAATTTACATCTACTAGATATAAAATTAGAGATTGGCATTGGTGCTTTGTAAGAAGACTCTTGAAGGCAATGATTAATGAAAACTCTGATATGTTGACCATTCTGAAGTGAAAAGCTGCACAGTCATCAAAATACCATAAGCACAAATCAGATTTGATAGGTTAAAAAAAGAAGTGTGTGTGTGTGTGTGTGTGTGTGTGTGTGTGTGTGCTTGTTGATTGAGTAGAAAATAATGGGTAGTGGATATGAGAAGATGTAGCAGCAATGTGTATTTGATTAAAATCTACAGAAGAAAATATTCAAGAAACGACATTTAATAATCAATAAAGTTATATAGAAAACAAAATTTGAGGAATCCTTACATCAGGATGTCATATTTCTAATGGACATTTTTTACACTTCTCTTTAATGGAGCAACGGAAACCAGTCTCAGTAAAGAATTATGGGACTTCTATGTGGCAGTGAATGAAATATATGGAATCCCAATAGAAAATATACTAGACATCATCAAAAATGGTAAATAACTGTTTTGTTACTAAAAAATTGAACAGAAATAATAGAAAAATTATAAAAGATCTTGATTTCAATTTCCAGTTCTTAAAAATTGAAATTAAAACTAATGAGTAAATAAATCACATTTTCACTTGGTATATTCTATCTTTCACAGACACCTGTCCTCAATGAAGATCCTGATTTTGTGAGTTAAAATTGAATAAAATTCTTTTTCTATTGAAACTAGCACAGTTTATGAAGACACAAATCAATACTTTAAAAATTATACCTGGGGATAAAGAATCAAAATACATTTTTGAAAACTAAAATAACACAAAATAAAGAAACAACTTTCAAATTTTGATATATCATAAAGAGTGACTGAAATTATTTTTAAAAAATATCCCTATGTGTTTTACAGTCTGTAGAGTTCTATAGTATTTTTTATTTATTATGTATGGGATTCAAACAGAAAGTGAAACAATCATTTCTGTTCCAGGCAATGTAAATAAATATAGTGAAGCTATGAGTCATTAAATATGACGAATATATCTGATTAAGTGTTGAATATGCTAAACTGACTAGATTTAATTCTAAATCTAGGGGATTTGAATCTGTCAAACTTTCATATATATTTTTCTATACTAAATTTTGTTGTTTAAATTTAAAAATGTAACTCTAGTACTTGAAAAATAAGGTTTCTGATCTAAAAAATACTTAGAATCATGCAAATATTAAATCGACTCACTTGTCATTGATCTAGTACCTATGATCAAATTTCTTCTTAAGAATTCCTTCATTCTTCAACTCATCTCGCAAACATGCATTTTTGCATGTTCCATAGAACTTACTGTATTCATTTGTAAAGGACCGAACATGAACCATGGAAAAGTACTAGCTAGGACAGAGACGGAGCCACAGGCCCTAAACCAGATGCCCTCAAAGATAAAGATTATTCCTTGGTCAGGTGGGTCAGGTAGCATAGCAACAGAACAATGGGCCCTGACCTCACCACCTAGTACAACATCCTGCAGCCTCACAATCTGAATTTCTACATGTTCCATGAAACTTACTGTATTCATTCACATTTAATATATTTCCATTGATGTTTCAAATTACACAGGTTACAAGATTGAGACAACTTGCTACATATCTGTCCATGGCATCTAATTCACAAATTTGAAGGTGGACCCTTCTTTCTTTCCCAGTTGTGCATTCACCTTTCTCGTGGTGTTCAAATTCTTCACACTTTTCTTTCCTCAAGTTTCTTCCCTTGCCCTGTTTAGTGCAATTTTCTTGTTCTGTGAATCAATGAATAAATTTCATCTAATGGCATAAAATTTTTAAAAATTTCTTGTGTTATTTAGTTAGTATTAAATATAAATCTCCAGTATGGGCTCATTTCCTGTATGAATGTGTGTATAGAGTATGTGTGAATGCTTTGTACAGTCTTTGTGTGCATCTATATCAAGGTGTTTGTGTGAAGTACAAGCATAAAATCTAGGTTAGAATTCCTCCTATCTACCTTCTTCTGAGTGTTAGTCATCAAAATCATATTGTCAAACTTAAGAATCCAAAGCTTTGCTGGGCAGTAGTGGGCCATGCCTTTAATCCCAGCACTTAGTAAGCAGAGCCAGGAGGATCTCTGTGAGTTCAATGCCAGCCTGGTCTACAGAATGAGTTCCAGGAGAGACAACAAAACATCACAGAGAAGCCCTGTTTTGAAAAACAAACAGACAAACAAACAAATGCAAAGCTTTACCCCCTGAACAATCTTATTGGTCTATGTCACATTTTAATTGAAACAAATTTTCTGACTGCCACAGTCATGCACAATATTGGCTGCACTTCAATATTTACAGGGAAAAGTGTGTGTGTGTGTGTGTGTGTGTGTGTGTGTGTGTGTGTGTATTGATTGTGAAGTTCATATCAAATGAACTTCCAAAATTAAAACTGCTGATTTATAAAGAGTTTAAATCAAAATACAAATCAATTTGAAGACTCACTGCCTAGCACTAGTGGAATAAAGGCATCTGATTGGATCCAACAAAACACGATGTGTGTTCCATAAACATATGATGAAAGATCTTGTAACCATGACAATTTAATGGATTGGAGTAAAAATATTCAAAACAGGAGTCATGGATTGTACCTAGTGTCTAATATCTCCAAAGTAATGAGCTTTAGCCGAGTATTACACAACCTGACATGTATATATTCCTGCAGAACTGGCCTCAAATCCAATTAGAAATCTATATTTTTCTTTAGTAAAAATTATATGATAAAATTCAAATATTCAAAACTGATTGCATCTTGTCAGGGACGACTGTTCTAGCACTCAGGATCAAGTTCTAAGTAAGACCACTGATTTCGTTCCTACTTTTAAGTAATGTTATAGACCTTCTAGTGTGATGTTATCTAGCAATCTTATGGTTGTCTATCAACTTTGTTCATTTATGTTTAGTTTGGGGTCAATATCTACTTACCTTCCTTCCCACAGACACCCCCACTTATGCATAAAATTTCAGTAGATTTTTATCTACTACACTTTCTTCTCTGTTGTGTACAACTATGTTCATTAACTGAATGAATTTTGTGGTTTAATGATGATAGATTTTCTTAACTATCCCTCATACATTCAAAATGTTTCTTAATTCATCAATGGATATCTCATTTTTCATCTCATGCTAATTAAACACTCTAACCCTTTATTTTATTTTCAAATGCCAATGTTTTCCCTTGTCTACTGTTTCCTATTCTGTAAGCTACTTAACCACAGTGGGCAGTTTCTGGACAAGACTCATTTTAATTCCAGATTAAATATTCCAAATAAAAATATTGAAAGCTAGTGTCTACATATGAGACTTTTATTCACATTAAAAAAACCTTATTTAGAGTAGCTCACAAGTCCATATTCAAGGACTCAATATTCTTATTTGGGTTTCAACAAATAACAATTTGAAACAGAAAATTGAATATGGTATGTCAATGATTACGGTCAATCTTCTGAATCCATCAATCTTAACTGCTATTTTAAATTATATGTCATTTGTTAAGAGTGCACAAACTCACAGGCATTTGACTATGTATACCTTATAATCTTGACTCAGCCCACAGGACATCAAGTAATAAAGAAATTTCATTAGGGCCCTCTGAAAGGCATGTATGGAATCACACTACAATCTGGGGTACTAATTTTCTTGATCCACATAATGTTGAGAAAATTAACCAACTTCAAGAGAAATAACCACCATCTTTATCCAGTTTTCGACATGAGCCCTCCTATAAGTCCTCAAAGAACTTTTTTGAAACCTCTTTGAGGACCTCAAAACAAAAGTTTTGTAGCTTTTTTATTTTGATCATTTGTGTTCACATCAACTTAAATGAAAACCTTCATGGTACAGTGTTGTGTAAATGTCAGCTGGCAGAGGCCACATTGTTTGGAATTCTCAGGAAGCAGATGGATACAACATTCATTATAAAAGAGGTTTTATTGGACAGAGCAGTCAACGTGTGTTTGGTCAGTTTGAAGTACTCTGCCTAGAGGATGTTTTGGGCTTTTGAAGACACCATAGGTGCAATAGAAAACCATACAACAGTGAGTGGCCATTTCAACATCATGTGCCTTCTCCATTTCAGTAAGATATGTGTATGCTCCCCTTTCAGGCTCTCCTTGCCCCTCTGACAATTGTGGAGCATCCCATTTCATCATTGGACATGATACCATTTTGACAAGGAGGGTAAGATTAGCAGGCTTGTGTGGTCACCCCTCATTGGGTGGGCATGATCCGGACCACTGTCATAGACTGTTGCTAGGCCCTCATGCAGACTCTGCAGGACCAGGAACTCTGACGGTGACTTTTGCTAGGTCCTCAGGCCAACTCTGCACAATCAGGAGCTTTGACGTGGATTAGGAACTCTGCCAGCTCCTGTTGCTAGGTCATCAGACAGACTCTGAACAATCTAGAACTCTGACATTGACTAGGAACTCTGATGGAAACTGTTGCTAAGTCATAAGGCAGACTCAAGTTTGGCTCTTAAGGAGTAAGGTACTTGCATTCTTTGGCTGCTGGTCTGAGCCAATTTCCTCAACTCTGTGGATCTGTCCTACTACATTACCACCCTTTATTTTACTAAGAAAATATATTAAGAGACCCAGGTCAGCTCAGTTCTATATTATCCACGACAGCTAACACACAATTTTCCAAATTAATCATACATGTGCAGAAGATGTGGCCTTTGACTATCTTTTAAACTCTTGGCATGATATAGAAAGGCTGTTGGATCCCTCCTGGATTCTCACATATTTTTTTTGATGGGTGGGTAGTGCTTTTAATCTCATTCCTTTTTAAGTGTCTCCCACCACACATCTGGCAACAACCGGAGCCCCTGAGGTGACTCTACATATTCTACTCAGGTCAATTGCTCTTAGATATCTGTCTCACGGCCCTCTACAGACTGTGCCTGCCTGGCTTTCTGAAATCCCAAAGGCCTGACCCTCCTCACCTAGGATGGACTTTCTTCAAGGGCTGGTAGTCACAGACAGGTAAGACTTTGCTTGGCAAACCAAACTAAGGCAGGCACAGTTCAGTTACTGGCAACCCTGAGGCAGTGTCAACAGGGCCAGAGCAAAGGACTCTGACTCCCACTGAGCACCCACCAAATAAAATAAAAGGGAGGATATGTAGTAGGACAGGGCCATAGGGTCGAGGAAATTGGCTCAGACCAGTTGCCAAGGTATGCACATGTTATGCTCCTTATGAGCCAACCTGGAGTCTGCTGAGGGCCTAGCAACAGGCTCTGTCAGAGCTCCTGATCATGCCCAGCCAATGAGGGATGACCACACAAGGCCACCAGATTGTGAACAGCCTGGGTGCCAGGCAAGGAGTGCATCAGTCCTTCGTTGTTATTGAATAAACAAGATTGGTATTTGCTTTCAACAAACTCTTGGTGTCTCTGTCATTGATGCTATTTCTTCTCAATCCCTACCCCAAGAGATCTGCTGGATTCCACTAACACCTCTCTCACTCTGATCCCAATTCTTCATCACAATCTGGAAAAGTGTTATATTTACAGATTCCCCAGTAGCCTGATATACTTCTCACCATTTTTCTGAGATTCAGGTCAAAAGTTGCTCTCTGGGTAGAGTTGTTAACCTTAAGTTCAGCTACATGGAGTAGAATGCAGTGTGGATTCTCACTATATTTGGTTATATACTGGTAATCACAGTTTATAAACTACATTATAATTATATATAATATGTATTATAATTATAATATATCAAATATCATAAATAATAATAATTATAAAATGAAGGACTCTTTCCTGAGTACCAGGCTCTTAGATGTCACACCAGTCTAGTCCTGAGGTCAGTTACTAATAAGTGAATTTTCCCAACATCTACCCTAGCACAGAGACTGAGGGTTTAAGGCTTTTTAGAGTCATACACGTGGAGATTCTCCATGGATTACAAGGTCCAAAGGTAAAATAAGAAGAGGTCATATTAGTCAGAGAAGCACATTTAACATCACCTTGTGCATAAAGTAAATGTGTGACCCTTGGACAAAGATAGTTTAATTTTCTCTTGCAGAGATAGGTAATGTCTAATATCACATTGTAGAGGAAGGAAAGGCCTGAGGATCCCTCTGACCCATGTATAGATGGAAGATCACTTATTTCAAAAAAGTGTATGGTGACTCTTTTCTAGAGGAAGTTCTGTGATCCCTTTCTACTTTCTGACTAGCTTGGGCTAGGGAATATTTCTGAAAGTCTTTATTCAGAGGAGAAAAGGGTCTAGCCACATTTTTCAGATGTGGAGATGCAATTCACCCTTTGCAGCAGGTGAAAGCCCTAGGTGACCTTGGTTAGGTGGAGAGGATTTGGGTTCTACCTCATTAAGTTCTCAATGTGCCTCCCAGTTACAGATATGCATACCATGAATCAAATTTTTGAGAGTGCAGAAAGAAATCATAATTTTCTTCCAGAAGGATGGTGCTCTTCTGAGCAATGATGCTTCCACAAGAATTTATTTGGCTCTAGGGATGAAACGGAAAATTTTCATGTACATTTTCTAACTTCTAGGTTGATGAATACAATTCTTTTTTGAACTCTATATCATCTTCCCTGTTACATAGACCAGGATGTTTTGTGGCCCCATCTGGAGCAGACATTGAAGTGGCTGACTCAGTCTGATGGGGAGGCTCTTATATACAATGGTAAGTGACCATACAAAGCAAGGTCAGCTAAATACATCAGTGGTGTAGAACTGAAGTGTCTTCGAAGAGATGAGTGTCTGAACCAC